ACCCCCCCCCCCCCCCCCCCCCCCCCCCCTCTTCTCTCTCCATAAGTGTCTTTATAACCAAATCACACAAAAATCTCTTCAAGACCTTTTGGGTCACACAATAAAATTTGACAAATTGGCCACATCACAACGAAAAGTCTTTCAAAAGACAAAATAATTATCGGAATAGGAAGGCTGGCGACAATTTAAGTCGCCTACTTCTAATCTACGTCTTTGGTGTGCTGCATAAAATAATATGCTTTTACAAACCGGCACTTTGATTTTCATCTAAAACTACAAACTTTTGAAGTGTGCAACTTTTTGATGAATATTTTTAAAAAGTATGGGCAGATCTGTGAAAAGATATTTGGAAGAAAAAATGCGACTTGAAAGAAAAGCCGCATCTTTTCTAGTGAAGTATGAAGATTATTTGAAGTGCATGCAGTACAGTCGCAACTGATCTTTGTTCAAAAATTGTCTCGAACATACATAGAATATGGGATGAAATATAATAGAATTAATATATCTTTTTGACCTAATGAAATTTAATACAATTTTTATGTCCTCTATGGAATCCAAGTGTGGCCATTTCTACTAAGACTAATGGAATACAATGAGAGTTTACCCTACTGTTCTGTACCATTTTGAATCTCTTCCTCGAATAAGTAGAATTTCTTAAAAAGGCTAAAATATTTCAACAAAGCCTTCAAATCACATTTAAAGATGGGATCCCTTTGAAAATGCTTATACTTATATGAAAAGAAAGAAGAGGTGATCAAATGACTCGGAAAAATACCAGTTTGTCTCACATAAATTTGAAGAGAATTACCTGCAGAATTCCAATCGGTGACCGATCAAAAAAATCTTTTTTTGTTTATCCAGACTGTACTTACACGTACATTTATGATTGGTTAAAACTCTTAATTACATGCAATAAGAACATAGTGATATAATTAAGACTACACGATAATTCATTAGAAACACCAATTAATCAAATAGTTTTCTTAATTTGACACTGAAAAATAAGGAAATTCACCTATAAAGGCTTCGAAATGATTTTAAACGTGATTTGAAGACTTTGTTGAAATATTAAACATTTTTAAATTGAGTAGAGTAGATATTCAAAATGGTTGTAAACTACGTTTGTGTGTGTGTTATTTTCCACATTTCCAGAGTTTCACACCCTACTGCTGTGTACCTTCCGGATCAGTGTGGAAGAAAACAACAATTACATGTATTGTGCAATGAGGGAAACTGTCTCAATGCAGTGTCGACAAATCTTTTCGATAACAAAAGGCTAGACAAATGACTCTAACTTCAAAGACTTTAAAGTTAAAAGGGTTACGGGGCTAAGCTAGGGAGTGTCTTCTCTAACCTAACAAACAGTTTAAGAAATAATCTGAAAAGTAATTTGTTATTTAAAGATAACAATTACGTGTGACAAATTTTTAAGACACTCCTTCGCTTTTTGCTGTTCTTCTTTATCCTTTTCTTTTCTTCTTCATCTTTTTCTTTTCTTCTTCGTCTTTTTCTTTTTTTTCTTCTTCATCTATTTCTTTTTTTTCTTCTTCATCTTTTTCTTGAATTTGACTTGTTTAAAGTCATTGTTTTACTAATTGATATTATTTATTGAGGGATGAGACAACTGCAATATTAAGGTCCTCTAGGTTAAAGATGGGTTCCCTTATTTCCATTTATGAAAATAAAAATGCTAATACTTATATAAATAGAAAGTAAAGGTGTTCTAATGATAGTTTGTCTCACATGCCCATAATTAATTCATAATTAGCTAAATTAGAAGAGAATAACCAGCAGAATTCCAATGAGTGACCGATCAAGAAAGGTCAAAAGGTATTTTTTTTGTTTATCCAGACTGTACATACATGGACATTCATGATTGGTTAAAACTCTTAATTATATGCAATAAGAGCATAATGATATGATTAAGAATACATGATAATTCATTAGAAACATCAAATAATCTAATAGTTTGCTTAATTTGACACTAAAAAATAAGGAAACCCATCTTTGATGCCATCAGGTCCCTGGCACAATTTTTTGCGATTAGTGACGTCACCAAACACTAAGTTTTATTGGAATTGCAGGAACCTTAGACGTCTGGCTGAAAATTGAAATGGTGAAAATTGATGGCACCAGTGTCCCCGACACATTTTTTTTTAGAAAACCTCTTTACAATCCCTTTAATACAACAATAAATGTATCAGTGTTGATGTGTTACCGAACTTTTAAAATATATTGAAATATTGTCCAGCTAATTCTTATAATTCTAAATCTCTACCATATTTTTCAGAATACAGTTACCCTGGTAACGGGCCAATGTGAAGGTCAAACAGTAGAGGTCGAAGGTCAATGTTGTAGCCAGTGTCCAATAGGCTCAGGAGTTACCTCCCATTGTCATTCCGGAAATGATACTAATTGTGAACCTTGTGTAGATGGCAAGACCTTCTCGAGTAACACGAGTCATACTCAAGTATGTTCCCAGTGCTCCGAGTGTCCGAAGAACTCTCAAGTGTCGAGCGAGTGCAACTCTACTGCAGACACAGCATGCGTTTGTGATAAAGACTTCTTTTTAGCCGAGGACGGTGAGTGTAAACTTTGTGATCTGTGTCCAGCAGGTTGGGGTGCTTCAGTGTCGTGTACTAGGACTCGGAACACGGCCTGTAATCAGTGTACGAACGGAACCTTCTCTAAAGAATTAAGTGCAACAAGTCAATGTTTGGTGTGTTCGGTATGTGCTCCGGGAGCTCAGATGTTACAAGCTTGTTCGTCAACAGAAGACACTATCTGTATCTGTAAGTATAATTTTTCACTTACTTCACCCCATCCACTCACAACTTGCTCATATCTTTCGGCGACCCCAAAATATGGCTGTCTCAACGCCACCCCCACCCACCACTCCCTCAAATTCCCATGTATGAGCCAAAAGGGGCTTCTAAATTGTCTCTAATTGAAGAAGGCACCCAAAACCCCACTCGAACCAAAAATAAATTGGCGCATATTACTCAAGGACTCGTGTGTCGAATTGACATCTTAATATTTTTGATTTCGACAAAGCACTCAATAATCAACAACCATAACCAACCACCCCACAATGTTGGCGCCACTAGAAAAATGGTTTGCTTTCCCATTTGTACCCCCACCGTAATAATGCACCAAATCAATACAGTCTTTCGAAATCTTCGAGAGAGAACCTTTTCAGTAACTCCATGAGAGGCTTCAGTTTGAATTCCAGCTTGAATTCCAGCTTCAGCAGTCCCCCCCCCCCCTTCCCTTTTTGTCCCCCACCACTGCACCCCATCCCCTATCCCGACCCGTTACCTGGTGCATGGAAACCCAAAAGGCCTACCCTGTACGTCGTATAGCCTATTAATAAGGTTGATGATATTTCAGATTGTTACTGCTATTTCTCTGTTTATATTTACACTAAAACAACAGATGGTAAAATACGAAACGAAAATTTTATAGCTCTAATCAGTTTAACATTCATTTTCTGTTTTTTTTTACCTCGGTTTGTTTCACCATTGTATAAAGAGAAGATATATTTTTTTTCACAGTCAGTTCAAAGTTAGTACCGTGAAATCGTGTCCAAACCATACCCCATTCACCATGCGAGAACCCGTATATGGGATACCATGGTACTTTGCTTACTTTGTTTAAAGTTTAACGCCTAAAGTCTAATTTCTGAAGATTTCACCTTTATTTCCAAAACAAGCTGATATATTGAGGATTGTTTATCCGAAACACCACGTTTTTTGATGATACGAGTTGGACAGTCATTTAGAACTAATGTACCCAGCTACAATGGCTCAACTACCATGGGGACTGGCTGAACCAATTCCCCGGGCCTTTAAGGGGGCCCCGTTCCACATAAAGAAATAATACACAAAGAAAATTGCCAAAGTATAGAATTATAATCAAACTAAGCTACCAGCAATATATAAATGAGTGAATTAGCATTAACTACAGACTGAAAATCTTTAAATCTTCCATTTACAGGCATTAAATTGACTTACAGAGGGTCTCAGACTGCAGGATCGAGCATATGTTAAAATTAATATTTCCAGAGGGATGGGCCCAAACCACATAAGGACATGAGCCGCCACTGCTAATCTACCTACTATACAATAAACGAAAACGGGAAGACATAACCAGCTAAATAGCAACTTGAAGCATTCCGAAAATAACGGAAACAAATTCCGAACGAAGTCGTGAAGGACCCCCACATAATTTCTTAACTTTTGATGTTTCAATATATGATTCGCACCCCTACCCAAATACACCATAGAGGGAGGCCTTCCATTCCATTTCGTAAAAATTTCAGTTCTGTAGCTTTTTGAAACAAGGTGGCAAATTAAAGAAAGAAAATCGATAGTGCACAGTTGAATTTGAAAACTGATGCATAGCGGCCATCTTAGATTGCTAGCCTTATGTGTCATAACCCAAACGTAACTGGTTTTCATTCAGAAATATAATTTGTAGAATGACTAAAAACTGAACATAAAATCTCCACCGTTTGAAAGTCTAATGAAAGAAAACGCTAAACGTCAACAGTCAAGCTATAAAAACCATCCAAGCGACTCTTGGCAAAGAGATATGAGAACGAGATAGGACTTTATAATTTGTAGTTGAAAGCCCCGAGTTAAACGGTGGGTAATGATTACAAAATAACAAACTGATAACATAAACAAAAATGTGTAGACTCCCATCTCTCCGCATGCAGTGCTGGAGAAGTAGTCAAGCGTTCTTGATAAGGAAAACAACTTAGGTTCTCAAAGATTTTTTGTTACTCCTCTTGGCAATAGTTGTACAAGGATAACAACTTAGGTTCTTACAGATCCTTTCTTTCAGCTTTGTCAAACCCCTTGGCAATGGTTTAAAAAAGGTCAACGACTTAGGTTCCCAAAGATCTTTTCTACAAACTGACCCTTGCTCAAACCACTTGTCAATGATTTTACAAGAGTTTTACAAATTTCGGTTTTCAATGATTCTGTATACCATTTGGCCCTTGATCAGACCTCTTAGCAATTACTTCAGCTTTTAAGGATCTTATTTACCAGCTGGTCAGTGATCCAGACCACTTGAGAAGGATATGCCCTCTTAGGTACTCAAGGATCCTCCCTACCTGCTGTCAATGGTCAAATGGTAATTTCTTTTTCATGGATAACAACTACTTTTTACAAGCTGGTTCTTTGTTATTGGTTATTCTAGGATGACACTCTGTTATAGAGCCAGTCTTTTAAAAGTTTGTTTTTTTGTAAAAGATACCTTCCATATTTTATAAACGTATTGGGTGTACGTTAATAATTGGCTCAGATTGAAATTTTAAAATTTGAAAGGAAAAAACACGGTGGCTTTATTAGTCGACATACATTAATAAGATTCCTATCACGATATAAAACTTTTAAAACTTTCACAACATTTTGGTTGTTTAGAAGACATCCTGCATATTCACATTCCGATAACGTTTAAAGGCCATGATTAGCCATTTCCGGGATTTGAATAATATATATGTTAATAGTCTTCAGAAATACTAAAAATGCACGAAGTTGGCATATATCGTTTAAAAATACCTCAAATTAGGAATTTCACTTGCTATTTCTATATGTCTTTTCATTAATTTTCTGCATCTCTGATCAATCTAATCGGTAGTGTGGTGATGCACGTCTTGATTAACCTGTCGAGTGAAATTTGTGCCCGCCCTTTGAAAGAATTCAGCTTTCCATGAGACCTTTGGCACATTGTTGAAGATGGCTAGATACCATGATGCGATGTGAGAGTTTACGCATATAGGTGACTTGCACCATTTCAAATTTCAACTGGTGACTGTTCTTAATCATGTTTTTACTGGTAGAAAGGGTAGGGGGTGGGGGAATAGATCGTCGTCCGACACAAACAGCCAGAAACATTTGGACAGCTTTAACCCTTTTCGCATAAGCCCATCATATTTTAACTCCCACGTTGACTGGGTGGCGCTAATCCTGGCCTATAAATTTAATTTAAGAAAATTAGAAAAGTCGCGATTCATATCTTTAACTCCTTCTGCGTTGACGTGCAAGTACAAAGTTTAGATAAGATCTTTTTAGTAAGTAAAAAAGCGTCATTTAAACTCAAAGGATATTTGGCTGCAAGCCGCGTCAGATAATGTGCATTTGATCTTCACTCGAGTGGAAAGAAACTTCGATGAAAAAGAAAATAGTTTGGTTTGATGATCTGTGACTCACTACATGTTGTTGAGTTGAATATTTCAATTTAAAGGGATTGTAAAGGGGTTTTTCAAATCCAAGAGGCCTATATTATCTTGGCGTTGATTGATTCCTTCTCTGCATATTAATGCAAAAACTAAATAGATATTTTTTTAAAAATGTATTTGCTAATACGGAATTTGGGTTTAAGGGATTGTAAAGAGGTTTTTCTAAATTTTTTATGTGTATCGGGGACACTGATAGCACCAATTTTCAGTCAGACGTCCTATGGTTCCTGTAATTCCACTAAAACGTCACTTATCACAACATATACTTTTATCATTTATTATTTAAGGCCCCTCGCGATTAGTGACGTCAATAAACACTAAGTTTTAGTGGAATTGCAGGAATCACAGACGTCTGCTTGAAAATTGGAATGATATAATTTGATGCTATCAGTGTCTGTCTTCAATTTTTCATTAGCTCAAACAGGTTCAGAAAATTAGGGAGTAAAACCCTATTTCATTTTATTGACCAATCAACATTCTATAAGAGCACTTCGGAAAAATATGAATTAAAACATAAATTCCTTCGCCTGATCGATCCAGAAGAAAAAACTTGTTTTATCTCAGGAAAAACGAAATGATTCGATTTGGAAATTACTTAAACGATTCTCTTTGGGTTTTTGTAAGAAAGCCAGGAATTATGAGAGGCAATAAAACCCCAAAACAGCAGAAAATAACTGGATAGAATTAGTGGTAATCATAAGCCACTCAGCGCCAATCAAATTCACCCATCAAACGCCATTTAATTCTCCTTTTTCGCCTTTTAGAAAAAAGAGTTCTTGCCTGTATTCAAAGCTAGACTACAGCTTCAAAGAGAAAGTTGCGTATAAAGTAGAATAATATGGTAATCGCAGAAAGGTTTATCTATGAAATGTCCAATCCATATCCGCTATCAAAGACCACAAATCAAATAATTGCCATTAATTTTGCCGCTTCTAATTTTATTTTATTACGCCGTGATTATCTCATCGGCACTAATTTCTCTTGATGGAGGGATATTACGAAATTTAACAGTTATTCGGTCCAGTGAGTCCTCTGTAGACGAATTTGAATAAATCTTATTTGAAGATAATTTGGAGATGTTAGACAAACTTGTACACAAAAAAGAAAAAAAAGAATGTTTTACTTTGTCTTTTATCTTTAAGTCTATTTCTTCATTATTTTTTTACGACTCATGGTTGCTGTGATGTAGAAATCATTACGCTTGAAATCTCAAAGTGACTAGAAATCAAGATATGTTTTTATTTTTCTATCAAAAGAATCAGCGCTAATTTACCAGTCAATAGTTGATAAATAATTTTCTTTTATCTTTTTGTTTCATATTAAAATAATATTGAGACGTTCTGATGGGACTTTTTATGACGTAGAAGCGACGTCGACCTTCCAGGATATACTTAAAGGGATTGGTTCCTGCAATTGCACTAAAAACTAAATATTCGATTACATCAGGGCCTTATGTGATAATACTGATAAAGTATATCTTGCGATTAGTGGCATCATCAAACGCTCTTTTGTGGAATTGCAGGAAACACAGACGTCTGACTGAAAATTGGAATGTAAATTGATGTCATCAGTGTCACCGTTACACATAATTTTAAAAAACCTCTGCACAATCCCTTTAATAATGTAAAGAATGTAGCCTGGGGTTCAGCCATTTTATTGCAACTTTTCTGTTCGTTTCGATTGAAGAGTTATTGATT